CTCGCCGTGAGATTTCATTATGGCACGGAAGCAAAATGTGTACGATTCCCTTGAGGATGAATCTGTTATAGAAAATCACGTGCTGACTTAACACGTGTCCATTAAAGTGGTGAAGAATAATTTCGAGGTGAAACCTAGATGTCTGAGTAATTAAAATAGTTGTGGAGATGTGAAAACCATTAATATGCATTGCAGCATTGCAGCATAATCTATTTTTCTGCCCACAAAACACTATAGGTTTGTACAGTTTGTAATTTAAGATAGCTTTCATATTTTCAGTCATATTAAGACATTTGTGAGAGTCCTGATTTCATAGCTCATATAAATATATGTGAATGAACAAGCTCTTGCGGAAAAATACTTTAATTAAAGAAAGCAGATTTTACTTAAACAAAGGTTTATTATATTTTACTTGTCAAAGGCGGTAATCAAACTGATTAAAACTTAAACTGCATGGTATTTTAGCATATCTTTTAATTGCAACCTGCATATCTGAGAAGTTTCCCAGTTGAGGTCATCCCGTGTTGTAATCAGCGTAGCGAACACTTTTTGGCCAAAAATTCTCTGCGGCCTGTGTCATGTATGTAAACTGCTACTTTTTATTTTTCATGGGGCAATATAAATGCAGTTTTTATTTCATTTAGATATTCGAGTATGTTACTTTTTGTTTTTACTCTACCGTAAATATTAAGGGTTGCAAAGATGAGAAGAACTCATTATAGTCAGCCTATCAAAATACCACTAAAATGAACATAGGCCTCCTCCATAAATTGTCAAGTAGCTAGATATTTGCTATAGTTTATACGACGGGACGATATGAGGTGGTAAATTATCTTACACCTCCACAACAAGGCGAATATTTTTCTACTCCTTTTCATGAGTGTAGTGCTTCCCACGTTCACTGTGAGTAAAATTTATAAGGAATAAAACTAATTTTAAGGATTTCATCGTAATTCTCGGTGTTTTGAGCACTTTACAGCACCCATGGTCACGTGAGGTCTGAGGTGTTTGACGACCTGATATCATAGTAGAATAGAATAGAATAAATGCAGTAGTATGCTTGGGTTTGAATTTAATTTTATTAATTATGGGGTCCTTAGCAGATGGTCGCACACAACCATCTTCCCTATTAATATTAGGATGTTTTTTTTAATTTCAATAGGCTCGCAAATCATCATTGGTAGGAATCGATGTTCTATTGCAAGGATTTGTTGTCTATCAAATACGATATAATGGTTGGAACGATACCACATGAGTAAAGAAACAGTACAGAGGCAAAGCTTTTAAGAAGCTGTCAAAATGTTTACCTATTTTGGTAGAGTTGGCACAGGAGGATAAAATTAAATAAACGAAACGTTCATCAGCTTTTATTATATACTTAAGATTCCAATAAAATAACAAAGGAGACATAATACCGCCTTGAGGGACACTAGCACTTATGTTACACTAGCTTGATGCAGACTCATCAATGCGGACCGACTGCTAACGTCCCCGAAGATAAGTTGAGAACCAATCTAGTTTTTCGGAAAAAAATCGTAGAATGGGAAAGGATAGAAAGTAGGATGTCATGACTGATGGTATTGAAAGCGTTCGAAAAGTCAACCAAAGCCAGCACAGTGACTTTGGTGTCCTCCATGCCCGCCTTAATATCACCAATGACCTTCAGAAGAGCGGAAACAGTGATGTGACCGGGCCTGAAGCCAGACTGAAAAGGGCTTAATAAATTCTTCTTATAAACAGAGAAAAACAGAGAAATTTTCCTATGGCAACAGGCCTCCAGTTGTTTGGATAAGAGAGGAGAAATGGATTTAGGTCTGAAGTGATAGGGTAAAGTCGGATTGGAAGTTTCCGGCAAGGGAATAACGTAGGCAGTCCGCCAGAGTGACGGGAAAACTCCGGTATCTGGGGCAAAGGTCCGGTATAATTATCATACTGCGGCTGATGTTATTGCAGCCATCAGCGTTTGAAATAAGTGTCTCCTGAAATTCAAAACGAGTCTGTTTTGAATTTCAAGGGACATTTGTGTAGCATTGCGTATCATCTGATTAGATACACCGATTCCATGCAGCTTTATAGAAGTTCCATTTCTCATCACTCCGATTTTTTCTAAAGCGCTGAAAAGCCTGGTCTCTACGCCTCATGGCTAAGCGACCAACTATCGTCATCCATGGAGCAGGTGGTCGCTTCACCTTCACCCTCTTGACTCGAGCATGTACATCATAAAGCTAAAGAACAGAGTCATTCCACACTGCGACTTTCTCGTCCACAGTGCGGACGGTCACAACTTTGTTCCATTTTAATTTAGACGCATTTAAACACAACTTTTTTAAATCTATACGACCAAAACATCGACTGTGCAAGCTTTTAGGAAACCATTTAGGAGGTTTTAGGACATAAGAAAGGATAATGAGGTCATGATGGGAGAAGTCAGAAGCAAGGTGTTTACCATGGGAGGACACGACGGAAGGAGAAGATGTAAGGATCAAGTCGAGCCAAGTGTCATCCCCGTCAAAGTCGTGATGAGTCGCTTTTAACGGAAGAATGTGGAGACCAACTGACTCGAAAATATGAAGGAGTTTAGAAGAACGATTAGAAGTGGGAACCATCAAGTCAATATTGATGATAGATATGATGATGAAAATATGATGTGTGCATTGCGACCCTAAAGATTCCAGAGTTGTTTCGAGACTGGAGCAGTAATCAAAAGAACAAGAGACGGACAGACAATAGACAACACCGAGAGCCAGTTTTGTTCCCTTCACACTAATCTCGAGAAAAAGAAACTCTGCAGAGCCGGAATAGGAGGGTGAGGAGGAAGCTGGGATTTTATAAACGAACCCCTTCCATTCACTCTTAAGAATCATTCTCCGCAGCCTTCAGCTCCTGCAAGCCAGTGCAACTTGTCTTTATCTCGACTCACCGCAAATTTATAAGGCAGACTTCTGGCACTTGCTCAGGCTCATCGTTCTCACCGGCATCACTTGCAAGTCGAAATTCATCGAAGCCTAAATCGCGCTAACAAAGTTTCGAAGTTAAAGCAGTATATATAGATTAGCTTCGAACTACCACTCGGAGTGTTGGCCGCTCCCCGGGCAGAACACCTTGCCCGGCGGAAGATCTCCCCTTTTCCTTCCACTGGCTACAGGCCTGTTCCGTATATTGCCTCATAGTGGAGATATTTGAGATAATTTGTCCACCGCAATGCAGTTTGTAAACCGCATGATTGGTTGCCAATCATTTTTGTATTATTTAGAGTTATTAAGCTGCTTCCCATCTCCTGTTTTATTTGCCTCTATCACCTCTTACGACCATTACGGGATGAAATGGAGTAATTTATACCTTAATATAATAATATATAATACATTACTTCAAACTTAAATTATCTCATCCCTTATTACCTTCGCCATAAATACAAAAACGTACGTGCATTGAAAATAATTGTATAATAATAATTGTAAGCCCTGCGTGGCATTTTCCTGTAACTTTAAATTTTTATTGATCATCTTTTTATGTATCATTCTGGTCAATATTATGACAGGGCTACGACTAATCAATTTGCTTTCGGAATTTTGCAAACCAGCGAGCGTTTGCAGACGACGCCGTCTATAGTGACGAATTATACAATGTACCCATACCACTGTTTGATTTGAATCACGGATTGCAGATTCTTTCAACCATGTATTGCATGTCCTTGAGTCAAGGACTAAATAATCAAACACGAGTGATCACTGACCATTCGACCAGTACACTCGGTGATGCGTCTCGCATTCACGCGTCTCCTGTTAGTATTTGGTAGAATTATAATATCTCTTCAGTGAAAAATTGGCAGTTTCATAAATTACGGTGAGCGATAAGAAATTATATGTTATGTATTTTAATCACTTGAAGAAGATCAGTTGGTCAGTTCATAGTTACATCTAAAAAATAGATTTTTTTTTTTTTATTTAAATCAGCTGTATGTTATTACTACGTCAAACAAGTGGTAAAATTAAAAAAATTGTACATATCAAAAACTACTGGTTAGATCTTGATCAAATTCATATGAGACCACATGAGAAGCACCAGCTTTGAAATAAAAAGAGAATCATCAAAATCGGTTTACCTAGAAAAACATTCTGAGGGAACACACACAAAATACAGTCGAATAGAGAACCTTCTCCTTTTTTTGAAGTCGTTTGAATAGGAGGAGGGTTACATTTCAACTGTATGTATTTTTCTATATATGTTACGCGATACTTGTGTACCACACAAACAGGTGTAGCTCCATATAAATTTGGAGCAATATTCTAACTGAAAACTGTAAAGGTGGCAAAAGAGGAGATGTAGTTTTAATGTAACTATTTAGACATCATTCTAGTTGTCTTGATCTAGTGATATTCCTTAATTCATTAAAAAATGTCAAAAAACTAAACTTTATAAAAAATAAAAGCTAACTCCAAAGAACTAAAGAGAATAAAATAATTTCACATTGTGAAGCCGGGGTTTTTATTCTTGTATACTTAATGTCTTTGCAACGACTTCAGAATTTACGACGGATTTAACTATTTATTAAGTTTAATTTTATGCTTTCTGGCAAGCACAATATAAAACGATTGCCCTTTAAGTAAAAGGAGAACGATGTGGGCAGGTGTTGATTGATACAGTTTTTTTTTTACAGAAATACGGGTGACAAACGAGCACATAATCCACCTGATGGTAAGTGGATGGTGCGGCCCATAGATATCTACGTCTACCTACGATTACGAAACAAAATTCAGATGCGTTGCCACCCCTGAGGACCAAGATGGAATGCCTCTTTTTCAGTAAAAAGGGTCTCTGGTGCTCGACACTCAACACACAAAACACAGCAGCATTAAGCCGCAGAGGACAAATGATGAACTGTAGTGCTGCCGAGATATAATGGTTTTAAATCAAAGTTGTATTTGACACATGACTCTGAATTAGACAATATTGCATTACGTAAGTAATCATTTTAAGTTAATCTACTATATCTTCTACAGATGTCTCAATACAACTTACAAGATGTGATATCTATTAAAGAATGGCTTGAGAAAGAATCATACCTGCCAAATAATTTTGGTAAGTTATATTAATGTTTTTTTTATTGTTTTATAACATTACATATAATATACAACAAACCCAATAATAATGTGAAATTCTTGATCTAGCCCCGCATTAAATAATCATCGTCATCATCATCATCATCATCATAATTACAGCCTATCAAATTCCACTGCTGAACGCAGGTCTTCACATAGATTGTCTCATAACGAGGATCCTTACCATAGTTGCCACGCTTGACAATCGCAGATTCTTTTCTAGTTATTATTTGACGTTGGTGCTCATCTTCTGGTTCGTTCCTCTCTTACCACCCACGAGCCAATTTAGGATAGTGACTATTCTTAAACTGCCATTACATGGTTGAAAGACGATATAACACTAACTTGTAAACGAGTTAAGGGAGTAAGTATTATCAAGGGCTTTTTCTTTCGTAATTCTGTAACAGTCGTGTCGTCGTGGCTATAATGACCTAACATCAGAAAACTTAATTGAAAATGCAATTTTTATCGTGAAGAGTGCCTTCGTAATTTCTTCCTGAGGAGATCGGATGATCCATTATATAAGGACGTCATATCTTGTGATAAAAGGCTTACTTTTATATATCTATTCAGACCAACCAGATGAGAATACTTTATAAATACACCAATAATAATAATAATAATACGTTTATTTGTTGATTACAAGTAATACATTAAAAGATGTTAACAATTGCTTATTGTATACTATATGATCTACCATAAATTACCATACAAATAGTTAAATGGAAATAAATTGTCTGAATAACAATAATATAAGTAAGTAGAATAACTGCAATCTCAAACTATTACCAATTTCGAAGTTAATCAACAAAGAGCTTAAGTTTTTCTTGAAGTATTCTATTTCATTTTCCTTAATATTGTTTGGTAAATGATTGTTGATAACAAGAGCCATCTCTAATATACCAAAATATTCTTGTATTGCTGCTTTTCCTGGTAAAATAATAATAATTTTATGTTTTAAATGTTAATTTTTTTTTTCGCTCGAGATAAACTAAATGTTACCAATTCATTTATGTTCGGTACATCGGCGCAGCGCGGCGACCCGTGTTGCTTTATATTTATGTATAATACAGGAAATGTCAAAATTTTGTTCTTTAAAGTACGGTTTGCAACTATGGTCTAAGAGCTAGCAACGTTTTCGAGAGAGCATTTAAGTTAGGCTGGTTTTTAGATATTATGCCTTCTCTCTCACTCTCCCGGCCAGCATACCTATTTTTTATCTTTCATTAAATGTATTTAGCTTTTCAAAACATAATAAATATGTTATTGTCAGTTATTTTTGTCATTGCGTAGGTCACTCAATAAGTTTTTACATGCTCGAAATTTAAAAATGGAAGGCACCGTTTACGCACGTTCCTTAAAAGTAAATTTATTTAAAACTAGAACTCCATAAGCCAATTGCTCAGTATTAAAAAAAAAAATTCTATTGATTTTCCTGCAACGCTTCCCGCGCTTTTCATTTAAAACGATGGATTTTAACCGTGAACATTTGCGCGCTATGATATATTTATGATTTTAAATTTGGTTTAACTGAACAATTAAGTTTACAACGGTTACAATGAGCTTTAAGGGACTCAGCTCCATTACGCGCAACATTTTTTAGGTGGTTTTCTGAATTCAAAACGGGTAAAATTAATCTTAAAGATGACCAAAAAACCAGAGCCCCGAAAACGGCAGTAACGGCAGAAGATGTATAGACTACTGAAATGTTGGCACGAGAAGACCCACGAATCACATATACGGACATCGAAAAGATTGTAGGCATTAGTTCGGGGAGCATTTATACCATCCTACATCAACATCATGGAGTGAACTAGCTTTGTTGTCGATGGATCACTCATTTGCTCTCCGAAAGCGAAAAACAGACTCGTGTGGATTGGTGTCATGAAATGCATCTACGTTTTGAAAACGGGGCATCTAGGCGTGTTTCAGAAATCGTTACTGGTGACGTGATATGCATCTATCAATATGATCCGGAAAATAAAAGGCATTCATCGGTATGGGTCTACTCAGAAGGATAATTCCGACAAAACTGCAAAGACCGCGCAACGTCGGCAAAAAAATGGTGGCTAGTTTTTTTTCGCGGAGCGGACATTTGTCGACGCCAATGCTGGAAAATTGTAGTTCAGTCAACTCTGATCAGTTACATTACCCAAAGCTTTTCAAGCTGTGCGGGAGAGAAAACCAAAGACTGGGCTTTGGGGAATCACGCTGCATCACGATAATGTCTCCTCACATACCTCCCTTAGAACAAAAGCATTTATTGAGGAATCTGGTGTTGAAATTCTAAGTCACCCACCCTACAGCCCTGACTTAGCTCCTTATGATTTCTTTTTATTCCTAAGAGTCAAATAAAAAATAAAAGGCAGGTATTTTTCAAGCGCCGAAGATGCCGTGACTGCCTACCAAGAAGCGATTTCCGACTTGTCAGATCAAGACTGGCTAAAGTGTTTTCAGAGTTGGTTTAGGCGAATGGAACTTTGTATAGAGAATAATGGAGCGTATTTTGAGAAGATGTAAAATAAATATTAATAGTATCTAGAATACTTTTTGTATATCTCAAAACTTATTAAGTCACCCACGTACCATATGCCAGATGCTAATTTTAATAAAGAAAAATCTAAATGTTTTAGTACTTATGGCTGAAATTTTAATACAATGTTATTTAAGTATAGAAAATACTACAATTAATTTGCAAATAATAGTTCTACCGTCAAACCATCAGCCAGGTTTATTTAAAAGTGAAAAGTGATGCGGTATTATTTTGGTTAATAAAAAATACTAGCCGGGAGAGTGAGGGAAAAGGCATATCTAAAAACTAGCCTACCTAAAATACCCGTTTTCCCAACCTTGCTAGCTCCCAATTACTATCAGTAGTTTTACTGACTTTTAAATATAGTTTCATTATCCGAACAGTTGCCCCAAAATATTATACTATAGCTTAATATTGACGCAACATAGTTGTTATAAGCTTTTAACGCAGTTTTATAGTGTGACACCTTTGAAAGTCTTCTCAGAGCAAATTTACGTGACTATTTAGACGTTTGTATAGTGTCTGAACGTGTGTTTTCCATTTCATATTTTTATCTATTTCTATACTTAGGAATTTATTGAAAGTTACCTCTGTGATAGGTGATCCCTTGTATCATATTGAACTAATTTATAAATAGCTAATGTAAAGTAGATCTGTTTTTACGAAACCCATTTTGTTCTATAGAATAATTATTCTATATAATAATAATATAGTAAAAAAATTCTGTTGCTCAAAGAAGGAATACAATCTATTGTATATAGGTAGCTATTTATATTATTTTTCATAATAATGGTAGGAGTCTATCGGCCTAAAGTTTTCTAGTTTATGTCTTTCACCTTTTTTATATAGTGACTTTACAACCTTTTTTTAGATTTTCAGGAAACATACTTTTTTCTAACATAAGATTATCAATAAATATTAAGGGATATACGGGCCTGATTTACTGACGTAAAATACAAAAAACTCTCCCAATTATTTATATATTTTATTTTAATTATATTAGTTACTTTTAATGACAAATTAATCCATTTCGAATATATATATATATATAATATATATATATATATATATATATATATATATATATATATATATATATGTCGGAGTGTCTATAAAATACCGGGTTGGATCGAGGTAGAATGGAGGGTATATCGAGAAACCCCCTCTCGTGTCGGTAGTATAAAGTTCACTGTAGGTGCCGTACGCGGGAGATTCCGCTTAAGTCATTCAACGAGTGTGGTCGTTCTACTAGGGCTAAGATAGTGTAGTGATTCTGTTCGTTGTTGTAATTCTTCTAGTGCAGTCAAGGAGGATTGGTGTTGCTGAGATGCTGTCCTGTTACATTGAGATAAGTAGTGTTGCTGTTGGTTTACATATTTTGGTGTTATCATGTAATTACGTACCTCACGTTACACTGGTGTGTGATTGTGACAGAGACGTGTTACGGTGTGGTCGAACTGTAATTTCACTATACTGAATGTATAGTGCGTTACGTTGTCTTACTACTGATAATGATTAAACTGCGTAAGCAAGAGAGCAAGTTGAACATCCGCTCTCACACTTTTATTATTTTTAACAATTAACGCTATCCTGATGTATTCCCGAGATCAAGTTCGGGATCTTCTGTTACAATTCTCAGACATCAGAAGTGGGATCTCCTGTTGTCATTTCCGATATATATATAGACATTTCTTGAGGAAAATTACACATAAACATTTTTATTTCAATACATCGATTAACTTACGACTAATGTTATTCTCATTTCTGAACGCTATTTATACTAAACGTCTCTGAGAAACGTCTTCTCCTTGGAGTCTTCTCACAAAGAGAATATAATCACTACGTTTATATGTATCTTCTCATTTTGAAATTTGTCAGTAAAAACTTCAAAACTATTTACCCGGAACGTCGATTTGTCCTCTACAAGACGATTTTTTTTTCGATTTGAAAAGAGCGCAATGTAATCTGTTATTTGAGTATTAAGTTAACTTTGTTGATATTATTGACTATAGATGCGTGTTATTCATTTAAATATTATCACATATCTTGAATAAAATCATGTATTCGAAAATAGCAGAGGTACATTATCTTAGATAAAGTGGCATCTATGTGAATCGGTCCGATTCGTTGAGTTCATGATCGATTCAGTAAATTGATTCAGTGTTCAAGGTTCATCTAAAAAGTCCATTCGTTATCTCCAAATAACCAATGTTTAAATTTTTCGATCTCACATTTATCGATCGACATGCCTACTACACTTTACTTCTTACTCACTAGTTAGTTTGAATTTAGTTAATCGTTTCTTTCACAATTTCGTTTCCTGGATAAGCACAACTTTTCTTTCGTGATTTTACATACTGGTCCTACTTTTTTATTAATCCTTGCTTTGTTATTGTACACCGTGAATCTAGCCCACACGACTGATCCGGCCTTGTTATTTTGGAATA